CACTGTTTCTCATCTCAACGCTTAACTATTGGTAAGGAAAATTGCCAGGTGTCGAAAATCTAACTAGGATGCAAAGTGTTAGGAACCACAACATCGTGGCCACAACATAGCTATAACTTTGTAAATGCTAATGGCATGGAAAAGCGCTAGTTTTGTTTTCGAAACATCGAGGAAGACATCTTAAAACATCTTATTCAACCAGGAACTAACCAGAAAAACTGAAAATTGCACTGTAAACCGCGCAACTTCTCACCATTCGTGGAGTCGTGACACCCATGTATCCAGATACATCGATAAAAGATTGACGATAAATATTTTGGCGTTGATCAATTCTTGAAGGATGCACCGTGCACTTGACTTTGTCGGTGACTTGATTTGGTTGTTGGTGCGCTACATCGGTGTTTCCATTCACCTGGACAACTCTAGTATCAATCAACCGACCACGGAGGGATGGAACCTTTGGTGAGCAGTGAGCGCGAGGTCGAACCAACGACCATGTGGTGCACTGCAGGTCACCTCTGACCGCTGCGCCACCGACGTCCTAAAGAAAATAGATACCGCGAAATGAGAACCCACATTTGTGGACGTTCTGTCCTCATTAGCGGCAAAAATTTTTAAAGCGAATTTAGTGGCTCTGTTGTAAAAAAAATACTCAACAAAGTTAAAACAATCAAATAATTTAGTTACAGATAAACTATTCTGAAAAGAATTAGGCTTTTAAGCGTTTTTGTTTAAATTAAACATGGCGAGAAGAGGAGGCTTTTCACATTATCTCTTCTATCAGCGAAATCTTGAGCCATCCATTTTTTGTTCAAATAACAGAAACGCATTGTAGCCTCAATTACGGTAATTGCTGATAAACAGCCGTCATTCTCCGCAGCGAGCCAACACATGGGGAGCGCCACTACCCAACCACACGCCGACAGGTGTACTCAATTTCACCGTAATGTATCGTTAGGGCCAAATGATTGTTGTGCTTCCACTAAAGTACTCCATATATACGCGCCTTACTTTCAGTCTTTAGAATGTTGAAAATAAACATCGTTTGCCTCATCAGTACCATTGATAATCACGTCCTTTCCAGAGTAAGTAGTGAACACTGTGAACTCCACTGGTGCTCGCATATCATCAGAGATGCATAGCGGTTTCCGTTTGATAAAATGAAACAAAAGCACCACGGCTTTCCCTACCGTTCTTAGCTGCTAAATAACAACGGGTAGTTAGTTTGGCTGTGCCATAGCATTACTTCAGTCTTAATTAGGTCCACGAAATGGAATTTGTATTGTAATTCTTCTTAGAAGTCCCTGCTGGGCGATGGAAACCCTGGTGTAGATCGCAGTTCAACTACCAGAAACACACACAGTGATGAAGTGGCATGTTATCAAAAGTGTGTAATATGATAAAATCAGTCTGACCGAAGTCGCTAGGGAGCGAGTTGGAATATGTTATTTTAGTAAATGTGGTGACGACCACCATTTCTTCATAAAATGTGCTAGTAATGCAAAAAAAGCGGAAGATGAGTTTTTAATATAGGGAGAAACTATGCCGTCTTTTTGGACAGCCAGTGGTTCTTTTTATTTCAGGATGATCATAATTCCGCATTATTTATATTCTTGTTAAGCAAACAGGAAGTGTCATTTTGGCCTTTATTGCTCTGAAGCTGACCCTTCGTGGGATTTGGCCTTCCTGAGAACCTGGAAAGGTTATGTTGACCGCAATCCATCCATCCGAACATCTCCGTAACCAAACAGAGAAAATGCTAAGCCAAGATTTCAATCACATTGAACACAGAATAACCTTTTTGCATATCCACCGCTTTCTATGGACCTTAAACTGAATATGTCTCATGGAGGTCAACCACATAGAATTCACATGGAAGCGTAATGTGCTCTTCATATCAGAATAACCGTCTTAAATACTGTCCGATATCACGCGTGATTATTAGGCATTCCTCCCTGGGGTTCATTTCCGGATTCTTGGAATTATTCCAAAATGCTTCGAGAGCTCCATAATAATCCTATTATTCTGCATTTTTTGTGAGTTATGCACATCACTTATCAGATGAACTCACCTATTTCTTCGAATGGTGTTCTCCTGTAGAAATTGCTAAAGAAAGGTGCACTCGTTGGTCCGGCAGTGCTACTAACGATAATACAAGATTTTAGCATTGTGAAAATATAAAGGTCTTCTCGATTCATTGTACCCGTTGTTATGAGTTCACGTGTAGACTTCAGTCGGTGTACTCAACAAGGAGTCTGAGAGTCGGTTTCCTCGTAAACTTGACGCCTTGTAATTTTCTTGCCGTTTGTGATGTCTCGTTCGTGCGGCGCCTGTCATTACAATCCAGAGTGGGGCATTTTTCTTCAGAAAACTTCGGAATTAGCCAAGCCTGTTTAATGCCACGCTAATTAACCCCAGTAGCAGAACACAACTGAGATGATGACGCCGAGTAAATAGCTGTATTACATAAAGTAAATGTAATGGAAGCGACATCTTCTACAACAGATTGTTCGTATAGTAACGGCGAAAGCGATAATGGTAGAAACTAGCAATTACGCTACAATTCTAAACTTTTAGCTCGCTGGTCAATGATGTCGAAGCCCCAACTTGCTACCATCTAACTACTAGCAGATACGACCTCATTGTCATACATTTTATGAAAAATCCTAAAAGGCTGTGGAGCAAAACAGTGGTAGCATGTTTAGCAGACTATTTGGAGCAAAGGAAAACACAGAATTATAGGTTGTCCATTCCGCAAATTAATGTTGGCTATATCCTTAAACGTTGACGCCTTGTGTAAGGCTTAATGATTTCATCCTAAATTTACATGTTTACATCTCGTTGTTGTTTTAAATTATGTCACTATAATCTATTGAATTAATAACTACATAGGAATTAAATTTGAGTAGTACTTGTAAGAATCCGAACAACAGTATGAATTGTGCAAACAGTTATGACAACATGAAAATGGTGCATGGCCTGAGAACTGCTAGCGAAGGCATACCACAGTGTACTGCTAAAGAATTCGGCCGTGTAGGACGAAGCTTTGAAGATAAAAAGTGTATGGTTGACTTGCTGTCATCGAACTACCACTACACTGGACTACGAATCGAGAGCTTGCGCGAGAAATAGGAACCTAACATTCTTGGAACACCTTAATCGGACTAGTAAATCAAAATAATCAAGAAGCGGATGCCGTATAGACTCACCTGTATTGGACAAAGGAAAAGGTACGGTTTTGCTGGACGAACAGCACACGGGCACACTTTGCGCGTGGAACAGCGCAAAGGTTCAACTCGTAGCGTGCGACATCGTCGGAGTTATTTTTGACGGTTATAAACACATGTAGGTGACTAATCATAGCCAAAGAGAAACGCATGTAAGTTATTTGCATTTTATTCCCGAATATTTGAAAGTTATCAGTAGAAAAAAAATGGGGAAACCGGAGTGTTGAGGAGTTGCAACGCAATGATCGCCTGTCCACAAACAAAATTAGAGGGCAGGGCCAATCTCTAAGAAACCTGTACTTCACTGAAAATAGTAGATTTTGTGTCTACCAGGTGATGTAGAGAGAAAACGTCTCCTTAATGCATGACCTTTCTTTGCAGATATTAGGAAGTCCGAATTCTAAAATTGTGTTAAATTAAAAAGTACCCAAGGAACTACTCACGTAAATCAGGCGATGGGGTAAAATATCATTTTCCAAAAATGAGCAGTCTCCAACTCTACAAATGTTGTATTGTCGTTACCAGAAAAAGCAGCATTAAGTGTAATATATTAACAAGTTTTAAGACGGCTAGGCTCAAATATCATGCCGGTAAGGGAAGGCGATTACCACGCCTTTCACGTTCTGAAATATACAGCCTGATATTCACTTGAATAAAAAATACTTAGAGTGCTATTTCGAAAAAGCTTCCATTGAAGGATAAGAAAAAGCTTCCCGCGTTGCTCGTTCTGTGGTAAGGCTGTGTATTCTTTGGGAACTTCTAAGAGGTGATTGAATTTATCTGGCCATGTATGGTTAATACAATGACTAGCGGCAGTCTAACGGTGGGTGAATCAACTTTTTATCTTCCCAAACAACTCTGGCCGACCCCGACAGAATGGGGGGTTTAGTTTGTTCGAAACACAATATCGAACCAAGGATCCAGCTTGTAATGTACAGCACCTTCTATCACTGCGCTTCACTCTCTGTTCGTAGACTTTCAAGAATTCTACTATTTCAAACAAAATAACGCAAGAGGCAAATGAAGAGGAATTTTGCTCAGGAGAATTCTAGCACACCCATTAGTGAACCAGTTACAAATAAATTGGTCTCAACACTATTTCTACTGAAGACAATTTCCAACCGAGCACGTTTTGAGAAACTGAACTGGATGTTGTCCCACGACGAATCACTTACCTGATCTTCTCCTATTAGCTGCATAGCATCGCACCTTCATTTCGTCGCCGCTGGCAGATTCTAAGAATTAACGGCAGAAGGCCACAGTTTATTTCTGTACCGTGATATCCACTCTTTTGGATTCCTTGTTTCGACTCTGTTACTCCACAATAGTGAATATAGTAGGGATCGACTTGTTCTAATCATGTATCAAACTATTTACAACGCATTTTCCGGCATACCATTGAGATTAAAGTGATATATTTGTCCACTACAATTACAATTACAGTAGTCGAGATAATGAATTTTGCAAAATGAGCTTGAGTTTTAAAATTACTGCTCAAATAATTCTTTAACTCTCTCAGTGAACAGTTTTGATAGCGGTTTTCTAGAACTAATTGCATTTCGTCTCCGTACACTCTCTTAGGCTGAAAATTCTGTAGATGCTAACATGACCGTTGAGCTTCGAGATCAACAAACTTATCATTCATAAAACGTTCATTCATTCAACACATGAGATGCTTGTAAAAGGTGAGTGATCAAAATACCCATAAAACCGCACAAAATTCCAACTCGAGCAGACAAAAAAGGCGTCTTCGATTGATATCGATCAACGACTTTATTTCTCATTCGTTTGTTTCCCATTACCTTCTCCAAGAATTTCCATAAGACAAGCGATGTACTGTTGAGCCATTTGTAGCGTCTCATACTTGGAAAGGCGACGTCCAGAGTCCATTTCGGGCAGGACAGTGCGCAGCTGGAACAACGAATTCTATGCGGGGTGTGTGAAGAAACGATACTGTTAATAAGGTTATGGAACATCCATAGTTAACGCATCTTAAATAAAAAAGGATGTGGATACTGTGTAATAGTATTAACATCCGACAACAATAATTAATAACTTGGAAATATGCGTAATTTCAGCAACAATGTAAGAAATAGTGGGATGTCTGGCCAAACGAGGAGATGTGGTGAACTTAAAAAGCTCCGAAAATTACTAAACGACGTTACATGAATTCGGCCGTAAAGGCATATCCAACCTTCAGTCCGCATGGAAACCCCACCGGAAGAAAATTCGGAATTTAATTTCAAATCTATAGCGCATCATTATTCTACCAGTAGTCCATGCTATTCAAATAACATATTACCGAACGAATTTACATCGATGACTCCAAGAGTTGGTTGTGTTTTGGAGAAATAATTTACTAATTCCTTCAATCCCGTTGACTAGTAATTCCTGATGGCAAAAGATCGATAGGACTAGTTGAGAGACAAGCGAAACGAAAGACCCGCATGGTGTGGTGGTGATCGCGTTACTCCCCGGAAGGACAATAGCGCGTTCATTCTCCACCGCAGACACCTGCGGTCCGGAGTTTTGCAAATATCTTAGCAACATTAAAGTTACATTTACTAATTGTTGATTAGAATGAATAACTTCCTATAAATAAAGATGGTGTTCACCTTCATTCTTGCCAAATGATTCACCGCTTCACCAAGACCAAGGAGGTAATCCCAGGTGTTAAACTGCAATGTACAACGCGAGGTTCATTCCTACAGCAGAACCATCTCATTTGGGAACGCATTTGACACTTTCTTCTTGAAGCCCAGCTGAAGGAGAACATGTTTGCTAAAGTAAAGCTAGCGGGACTATCATTTCTTTCTTGTCTTTCACCTTCTCTTTGGAAGAAATGAAAAAGGAAGCAAACTACTCCAGAAGTGTGATGTGTTCGTGTCTCACGACCGAACAAACGGAGCTTCTGAGCGGATTTGTTGTGCGACGAAGATGAATAAGGTAAACCGGGGCTCACTCGAAGTGCTTGATGATTAATGGAAGTACGGATTTAGATGCGTTTTACATGGAAGCAACCACTGTGAATTCCAGCGAAGGAGTTTGTTTACTAATACAGCCAAAGGAATAATTTATCACTTCTGAAAAGTTGGAATAGCACAATAGGAGAACGGAAGTAGGAGCTCGTCTCCGTAGTCACCACTGTTTCTGCCCTCCTTGCACTGGTTTCGCATCAACAAGTACTGTTTTGCCTGCATTTGGATCTATTTCCGTTTCGCCTATATCAAACCTCAGCCGTTTGCCTCGATTTCTTAATTCAAATCCATATTGGATGCATTTTAAACCATCAGGGAAATAGCCGAAAATAAGTGAACCATCAAAAGACGGAAATTAGCAGGTTCGGAAAAAATGCATTGGGTTTACTAAGTGGTTTAAGTTTCCTTGATGATTTCAGTAGGTAGAAAACCGAAACTCGGAGCAATAGTAGCAGGGTTCACATTTCATAAAAACCTTATCGCTTGAAAATAACGAAACTGCTCCCGGAAAAAACTAACGGAGGTTTTGCCAAAAAAATAGACCACCTGATATTTGCAGTTTGAATGAGAACTGTAAATTAAAGGCAGCCACGATTGCAGAGACAACAGGTGCGCGAAATGTGCATAACTAACGCCCGTGCCATATCATTCATTAGCGTCTTAGGTCTGTTGGTGTGTCTGTATGTGTCTTTCAGTGGTCGTCCTTGAGACAGCTAGCTGATACGGTATCGCGTGAGACTCGATGGGTTGTACATTCAAAACTCGACGACGACAGATGACCGTATGCCGTTCGACCGTCGTCCTGGCGACACGTTAATTTTCAGAAACATCAACTGATTCGGTCCATCACGGTGTTATGAAAGCAAAATAAATGTTACGAAAACTAAACTATACCTTACAAATAACTTGGGTAAAGCAAAATTTTATGTTGTTCAGAAAAGGAAGGTTATTTACCTGGATTTTTGGCAAATTTCTGTGTGCAATCAGTAATGTTCATGATGATTTGCCGACTCGTCTATTGTAGGACAAGGGCAATTTTCGAAAACATTTTGAAAACAGGACGGTTTTGTTACAAGATTCAACCATAGAGCATATTTAATCAATCACGACGGCTGTGACCGCTCATGGAGCGATAAAGGGACAACAAAGATAAAACTCTCGACGTTGTTCAATCGCTGAAAGATGCGCCATAGATTTCACTTCATTAAGCATCGTTTGGAGGTGATTGGATGCATATCTGGCCTCTACAATGACTCGCAGTGGCCTACCGATGTATCGAGCCAGTGTTACTTTCCTCCCAGACAAGTCTGGTACCAATTTGCGACCCCGGAGAGATGGAAAGCTTGGTGGGCCACGAACACGGGAATCAATCCCTTGTGTGTTGCTGAGCGCCTCCGACCACTGCGCTACGCATGCAACTTCATGGAGAAGTAGGATGAAAAATATATAAAATTTGTAATACAAAGAATTGTTTGACCAAAGCCGAGGTTAATAAACAGTCGGTCAAGGGAGTATAAAATTTGCTTTCAACAACAGAAACTGTTTGACAAATGCAGTATACAACAATCAAAGCTTCTGAAGACTTTCAAATCTTCAAACTTATATTAAAAAATCCTAAAGTGTTTAATAAGCGAATTTTCTTGGAAATAAGAACAAGAGCAGCGTTACACGCAACGAGCTCGTCTTTGTTCTTTATTGAATTTAACACCTTTACGAGTCGAAACAGTATATATGTTACGGTGCATTGAATACTTCAAATGAATATGTACCTTATCGTAGGCGACGTTTAAAGTGTTCATCCGGCGACGTTCGCGTTCATTGGCTGCACTTCGCCGCATCCGCAAAAGCTGCGGTGGTGGTGGTTGGTAGCGACGCGATTTTCCGGGATTCCTGCAACTATCGTCGAATCGGTCGTGGTATAGGCTTAGCCGGTTCAGACAATTAGCAACTATCCAGCCACTCAACGAAACTTATAAGTCGATCGATGATTGTTAACTTAGAAATCTCCGACCTTTGAACGACTACTTCTCTGCGGTGACTTAGGTTTTCTATTGATTTAGGTTGCTATAAACCTTATATAACCATACTTTGTCCCAAGGTAGTATGTGTCTTTACAAATCTTCTGTTGAAACGTTTCCCCTTTTGACACCGTGCTTGCTAACCGTGCCGATTATTAGTGCAAAAATGAACTCTGATTATTTCATTCAGCAATTAATTAATTAATTAATTAATCCTACAAAGTTTCTGCCAGTTCAGGAATTTTGCATGACACTAGCTCAAACCCACTAAGCCCGGAAATCTTAGACAACCTACTAAGTCTTAAAATAATGTGGGACTTTTGATGATGACTTGTACAGCGTTGTTCTCACAAAAAAAAACATTTCCCAAAAATTTATATTTGAGTGAAGATGTCTTATTTTACATTACCCCACAATTAGTCTGCAAAGCGGACCAGTAAAATGGAAAAGTAAAATAATGCTGCCTCAGACGTATCCCAAGGAGCAACTGAAGAAACAAAGGAGAAAGCTCACCGATTAGACTGTGTTAGCTGTGGGCTATGTGTTGCCGGCAACACCTGAGCAGGAACATTGTGCGACAGTGGCAACGAGCAGCCCGGCGACTGAAGTTCCAATGAAGACAGCGGGAAGTACGGGTACTCCCATGACGCCATGTGAGAGGAGTCGGTGAGGATCAACTGAGTCAGCGTGACCAGGCTATCATGCCTGGCCACGCCTCGTCCGACTACGGTAACCTAGCGTAACCGTGTAATCGGCCCGCGCCTATCTTCGGAATTGCTTTCCCTGATCTGTCGAATAGGTATAGACGTTTTTTACATTTCATTTGATTGTTGAACTGAAAAATAGCCAATTCTATTCCCTTATTAGATTAGTAAATCGCACTAGCACGTGTAGTTCCTTGGCTAGAAGTGCTCTAAGACACACATTTTTGTTGGTTCGATCTTGCACCCTCAGTTCAATGATCTTTCAATCGTTCTGGGGTCCGGAGAGTGGCGAGCAATTTGTTTGGAAGGATAGTAGTACTGACTTGACGTATTAGTAGGCCACTGCTAGTTATTGTATAGGCCAGATATACATTCAATCAGCCGTAGTCATGTTTTATTACGCCGAAAGAATAGCGCTACTTCTCAGGGATTGATCAGTAGTGAGCCCTTTATCCTCTGTTCTTTTACTGGTAGATCGTTAATGCAAAACTGAAGCAGGTCATGATGTGAAATTTTTGGATCTCATAGAGGCATACACGTAGCGTCAGTAAGGCCTTAAAAAAAGAGAACGACATTTTTTTAACACCACTCTCTTTAATGAGTCTTAAAAGCTGATGACGACGCGATAAATGAGTCAGCTTGTTTTCGCTTTCAAATAGTACTCATTGGATAGCAACCATGCATGAAAAACTGAGTCATCTCTTTGCACATATGTATATATGTATATACATATATATTTATGTATATATATGTATATACATGTATATGTATATATATGTATATACATGTATATGTATATGCATATGTATATATGTATATATACATATACGTATATACACATATGTATATAAATATACGTATATATGTATGTATATATATGTATGTATATACATATATATGTATATACATATATATATATGTGCATATATGTATATATATATGTATATACATATATATATATATACATATATGATATACATATATATGTATGTAAAGGATAAAGCTGTCAGCGTTGATTAATCCCTGAGGGATGCACCAAGCATTCAACTTCATAAAGCATCATTAGAGATGATTTAATGCATATCTGGCCTTTACAATAACTCGAAGTGGCCTGCTGATGTATCGAACCAGTACTGCTATCACTCCAGACCAGTTTACTACCAATTTACCGGCTCCGTTGGGATGGAAGGCTTGGTAAGCATGTGACGTGGGGATATATACCACGTGTTTTGGAAGGTGTCTCTGACCACTGCGCTACACGTCTTCCGCATATATGTAATATCTAAGAGTTCTCTTAAATGTTAAAACAACGGAACTATATAATCTTTTGTATAACTGTCAACCTAAACTGGCAATAAAAAGCTCCCTGAATTAGTTGCTGTTTTCCAAGTTTGAAAACATGAATACCTAAATTTCTATCTTATAAATGAGAGCAGTAAGAGCACCTTATACAATTATTACGAATAGTTTATGGATTACAGATAAAGACAACTATCAACCATAAGCATCCTGGATAAAAGAGTATCAGCAAGTGAGTGTGCTTCATTCGAGAGATGATCCGCTGAGGAAGGTTTAACTCGATGCGAAGGCGAAGACGCCACATCGAGACGAAGAACAACCGTGGACCATCGACTCGGATCATCTGCCCTGATGAAGACGAAGACGTCAAAACTTTAACCGAATAAAGATTGTTTATCAACCTCGTGTAAGCTTATCAAGGAAAGAATACATTTTACCACTAGTTTTAAATTGATGGTTCGATTTTTCGTTTCAGCAACCATTAGAAGAATGTGGACACATTAAGTTATTAGCTAGATAATTATGAAAATGTTAATAGCAAAGTGTTTCAATAACCAATAGTTAGCAATTTTTTTCAATTGAAGGTATTAAAGAAGGGTGTGACCAGGTCGCTCATATGACGAGAAGGAAATTGAAGACCGTAAATAAATGATACTCACATAATTCACATAACATTCATTCGTTGCCTGTCGTTTTTTACATAATACCCTGCAAGGAAAATGATAATAAGCACTAAATTAAAGAAATGTGCAATCGACGTCAGAAGAAATTTGGCTTCGCTGAAGAATTTCATGTGATCATTTCCTGAGAGAAATTACAGCTCACGACAATCCCGTCCTCATCACGCACACTCTCTCGGAGAGACCGGATTCGGCCAGTGCAACTAATTCTCCATTTTTTTCTTCGGCAACAACGTTCTTCATCTACAGCAAAAAATACCAACAACGTTGAGCGTTTAATCTACCATAAATCTAAGTCGTCCCTTATCGCTAAGCGATCGCTCGCGGCGTGCAACGGTCGCGTGGCTGAGCGTTATCGCATCGAACTGACAACCTGTTGAGGGCCATTTGGCCCATGGTAGGCCCATCACTCATCGCTGGTAGACTTCTGCTTTCATCGACCTGTGGTCGACGCCATTAGATGATTAACCATACCATAACGCTTTGCCGGCGACAACTGCTTGCACAAGATGAGGACAACACTTCCAACTCCTCGTACTTTCTGTTTTTCCTAGCATCGGTGACTCAGACTTTGTGCTCTCGATGAACAGACAAGTGGATCATGAATGATACGGCACGTTTTGACTTTACCTGAAGTATATGTGTACTTCGTTACCTTCATACTCACGAACTTGCTCAGTCAATTACCTGTGAAACGAACAGTTAAGAAATAGACTATGTTCTCGTTTTTTGTTTCTTAGTTAAAAACAGGACAAAGAAAGAAAAGCAATTTTGTTAACCATATCGCAGTGTTTCCCTTGTTTCTGTTCTAATATCCTATTTCCTAGGAGATACGTAAGTAAGGTGAAGCAGAAACTCAGCATTAACAAATGCGATATTGTGAATGTGGTGCTAAATATGTCCCGTATCAACAAGTGTGAAACGAAATCCGAACTCTTGATCTATATGTACAATCGAGAATCAGAAGCGTTGTTGTAAGTATCAGGATGCTGAATATTACATGGAGTGGAAACGTGAAATGTCTCAACGGCAGCTGCTGGACAAGCTATAGACCCATTGCCCAGATTTCCTCGCGAACACTCTAAGAAAGGTAAGGTTCTTTGAATCGGTTTGCTCTTAGAGACGAGTCGGCATTGCTCGCTAGCTGTTCTACTATATGAAACGGCTATGTAGAGACTTTGCTAACGCCCACCCGAGCTCGTCGACGACCAGAGGAAGAGCGAGTGATATGGTTATCCGAGCAGTAATAAGCCCTTCATGGAAAAGAAAATAAAATAATGTAATGTTCCATTATCAATAAAAGGAAACCCCCGAAATCTGGAATGGCCATGGTTCTGTTACCGCCTATCGTTTTGGCTGTGTGTCTCTGTTTTTAATAGTCGGCTTAAAATACGTGTTTTCTAGCTCACAGAATAAACTTTACTACTATAAATGAAGCTCGCAAGAAGGTATAATCTTGTGGTAACGAGAAACATCCAATACAATCACATTGTATGCTTCTGCAATACACGAATCCTCTTAAATTATCGTTAGAAGAAGCTCGATTAATGAAGATTTCTTCCACAAGTCGAAGTCTTTATATCGAATAGCTAGGGGAATTAGCATTCGACAGAGAGAGAGAGAGAGAGCTCTCATGTCTACATTATGGGGGGCAGCGTTTCGTACCTCAAATACTTCTACGGCTACTGTGTTAGTGGCGGAGTGCAAGTGGGCGTTCTCGTAAAACAGAAATGAGTCCTTCCGAATGATTAGTGCAAGCCGCAGAAACTGTTCGTTTTTAGATTCATTTTGCTCACTTCCAAACAATTCTTTCCTTTCATAGTGGTTTTGACAAAACTTTTAAATTTTCGTGCAGTGCAGTGCATCTGTACATTCTCAGTCCTGCATGTTAAACATCAGTTCCTTTTTCCTCTTTTTTATTTTTTCAATGCTTTTTCTATATGCCCTATGCTTATTGCCAGCATGTTTAAATCGCAGTATGTAAGGGTTCATTTTTTTCTCCTTCTTCCTCATTATCTTTTCAAAAGGGCTAATTAACAGACGAATAATTCTTGTTTCGCTATTTAGAGTTTCAATGGCACGTAGTTTTTTATTCCACTTACTTATATATGGCTTTCTACAGGTCGGTGAACCACTCGCAAGAATCACCGATGTCCCAGAAATACTCCTAGGCCCAATGTAACAAATTTCTCTACAGTCCACAAAGCCCAGGAAATGTAAAGATGGCTGGGGAACACGTATCTATTTATTTTACTTTATTTGATCCGTCTTTACCTCTACTGTGCGGATCCCAGCACTTCTCACATTCGATTCGTTTCCTCGCATCCATTATTCACAAAGATCTAACTTTTACGAATGGCTTCGGTTGCTGCTTGAGGATTTCCATTTCATCTTGAATGTCATAGGATGCTGGTCGAACAATTCGCCCTGGAATCTTGAGATACTCGGGCCGGAGCGTTCCCATTTGGATCGCAAAAAGTGATTTTTTCTCCCAGATAAATCCAGTAGCAATTCCCGGAGACATGAAGGGCTTGCTTGACCCTGAGCGGAGTCGAAGTAGCACCATGCTTGTGTGACGGACATCACTACCACTGTGCTATTCGCACCCTGGGAAACCGATATGCGCAACTATTTCTGGTCTTCTGTTAAACCACAAGTACTAGACTTCCCCAGGTCGCAAGCAAACCCGATCACCTCCGTGGATAACGGTAGCAGTATAACATGGCGAATTGTAAAAGTAATTGTCGGCTGCACATATGAGACCGAATTTAAGTATCTAAGTAACACTACTTTTATAAATATCTACGTTTCTGTGAACGTCAACTTTAAAGTGCTAAATCTACACCTAAATTTACCTCGTTATATAAATTCAGAATGGAATGCGAAAGAGAAACTGCTTCTGGTATGAACCTAGCATTTGCTCAGCAGACGATAGGCGCTCAACGATCTATGTCCATATGACAATAATTCTCGGTTACAAAGGTCATTCTAGGCTTGGGCATACGTCTCCAAAAATGAGTCATTAACTGACTACTTTTTCAAACATTTTTCTTGCCAAGGTAACTACTGCTGTGACAAAAAGTAATCATAATAATTAATACTCTCAACGTCAATCAATCTCTGAGGGATGCGTCATGCATTCGACTTCATTGAGCATGGTTGAAGGTGAATGAATGCATATTTGGCCTATAAAATGACTTCTGGTAACTTATCAATGTATCAACTCAATGCTGTTATCCTTAAAGACAAGACTGGTACCAATTTACCGACTCCGGAAAGACGGAAGGCTGATGAGTCTGGGTGGCGCGATCGTTCCCACGTCCATTGCAAAACGCCTCTAACCACTGGGCTACATGTACGTACTCATTAATAGATAATACACCGAAAAGTGAATAGTGAATATTAAGGGCAACTAATGAAAAGTGGCAGCTTACTTTTCGACAATAAATCCGCTATCAATCTACCAGCTAGTAGATTAAAAGGGCGAGCTTGTTGAACGCATGGTGCAGAATCAATGAGGAACGCGAATGACACCTCGTTGTTAGGGCCCAAAGGTCTTTTTGCTTTATTTGATATTAACACTGGTAGTATAGCACAAGTACTGTCAATATTAGCAATCGCAATATTGTTTTTATTTGTTCAAAAAATAGGTAATGGCTGGCTTTTCGCTAATTAGAGTGCTTGAAAACGTGAAGGCAGACCTATAGAGCAGTCATTACTATAGAGGTTTAAGTATATGTATAATTGCGTGACTAAATGGTTGAAGAGCTCCTAACAAATAATCACACGGTCCACAGCATAATTTCAATTTCATTAGTAATTTGCTGGTTGAGCAGGGCTTCCTCTCGCTAAAGTCCCGAAAGCCGTGATAGGACTTTCTAAGGTCATCATCATTGCCTAGCTAGCAACTATATTACTGCTAGAACGAAGTCGTCGATTCTTGCCACGGATTTGCTCTTATCCTCTCCAGATCAGGGTATAACACCGAGGAGCACTTCTTAAATACGATGAGACGTTGAACCATTAGGGAAATATAGAATTCATCCAAAAAATTCTTCTGATTTGAAGTTTATTTAATATTCAAATTTTCGAAACGTTGAGAACAGAATGCTTTCAGAACTTTTAACTGAAACGTAAGATGCCGTTCACTCTGAAAACAAATTGACGAACACCTTAGCAGCCTTCTGTGCAAAATTCTACTCGCTCAACCTCAGACCGTCCGAAATACGAACACAGGTGGAAGGAAAAAGCAAGAAGAAGCGTCTTTTTATCTCTGGATTAGAATTTCATCTTGGTGAAATACGATTTGTAGACTTTAACAGCTTCTATCATGTTAGCTGCTAGTATTTGTATTTGCTGAGGTTAGAAAGGTGAATTTCACCATTGGACTTGAAACGCATTGAAGCCAATACATAATAACAAAACAGCGTCGAAACATGGCATTGCTACCATCACAGGAACTAAATGTAAGACAGTGCTCCTGAACAGTGTAGACAGTTTTTTAGTAGCTTTCGTATATGACTCTTAGCTAATAACATAATGAACGCTGGTAATTACTTGATGACCAGATAACAGAGCGAATGATCGATTACGGTGTGTTTCGCAGGTAATAGACAGGACTCCCTACCGAAAAAACGCATTAGGTGATGTAACGAGCAGTCAGTTGACACTAATTACAGCGTATCGTTAATTGGACTTCCAGTCGAGAGTTCGTCGAGATGGTCATCGTGATTCCGACGAAACACTGCCACACAAAAACACCACTTCGGATCGCCCACGTTCGCATGAGCAATGTCCTCTTGATATTTCTAATGTGCCGGCATTGAGTAACAGAATCCACCGCGACACGAACAAATAGCTCCAAGCCTGGATAGAACTTATATCAATCTTGTGTTAGCTTATCAATAAGGAAATCCATTGACTACTACAGCATAACATTTGCAAGCAGCACCCTTGACTAATGCCATAATTTCGACTATTAAACCAGTCAACTGGAGAACCCGTAGCACCTGCAGAGGGGTCTAGTCAATCGACAAATTCTAAGAGTATGTTGCAATGTCTTCGAAAATACCAAAACACCAATACTAGCTATGATGGTTGCTCAGATGGGGTTTCTCTAGTGAACAGAAATAGGATAAACTTTATGATTAAGCTCGAAATGCACAACAGATCGAATAGGGTGGGCCAAGAATAAAATGATCGATCGAGAACCATTACTAATGCGTGGTCCTACGACGATATGGACGTACGTGTCACTGAAATATAAAAATGACTGTTTTTAAATATCGCCGAATAACTACTACTTGACTACCGTTGACCATTGTACGATGAGAACTATATACTTCGCCTTTCCCGTACTTTACGGTTGAAGTACCACCGGGAAGAAGAGGAAGGGAGTACCATGCCACTTGGAAGCGTGTTACAATATCTTCAGCTTCTATACAAGGTTCGCATTATACTGCATCGTATTATACATTTGTTAGTACTACCTCTATGAATATTTTTCCATACAAATACAAGCCAAAAGCAGCAAACATACCAAAGAGAGGAATTTCTACCTATATAACAACACCTGAAAACGATAGTGAACCTAGTGATAACAAATAGTAAACGATAAAGCGTCTTGAGTGATGAATACACTCCATATGGTAGGAAATAGCCTCACGACTACAACAAATATCACTAAACTGCTGAAGCATTGAAGATATCCTCTAGAGAGAACACTTCTCGAAAAATAGAACCTACGCTAATTGGATAATGACTGCTCTCAAATAGAATCCCACCATTCTAAACACTGCTTATTTTTTACTTCTAAAAACACTCTAAGAGAAGTTGTACGCATACCTTGTTCCCCTTGAATACGTTCCTGCTACACTGTACAGAAAAGGAATAGAATATTTATAACAGCTTCCATACACAGATTTCAAAGCGACCCACTCACTACCACTACAACAGGATCAGTTATGCGAAGTGAAAAGTAGAAAACTGATAAGGAAAAAACTGATTTGGAACAAGTTCTACTTAGAGCTTCAAGGAGTTTCTTACTTGCAAATCCAATCCGTAACTATATAAAATGGTATGGGTAAATTGATTTCTTTGCCTGCAGAATAAACATATTCTAGATCTACCATCGTACCACCTAGAGCAACAGTTAACAGATGTCTCCATGGAGCCCAAAGCGTCTCATGATCTCGCATAATCCTATACAGCAAAAAAATGCTATGAATAATGGAGTTACACCGTGAATAACAAGCAAGAACAAAAAGAAATGAGATGTTGAAGACGAGAGGGAAGTAATCACATAACATGTTCTTCACCTATACAACCACACCTCTTTACAAATAAAGTAGAACACATACTACGGAATGTAAGCGAAAAAACACAAGTATAAATAACCAATAAATAGACAATAAATGCAGGTATTTTCTTAGGATAAAGATTTTCCTTGCAGTCACGATGAGCACAACTTGATAGCGCAGCCCTCTTTAAAAAAAGTACTAGATAAAAGAACTCAGAGGTAATAACACTTCAAAAGGAACCATTAGTAAATAAACATGGTGAGTGTAAAATTCAGCTGAATAATACAAATCGCGTTCATCTACCCAATTTTCAACCGTGTCATGTAAGCTAAAGTTAAAATGTCTGATGCCAATAAATAATTAATGCAAACACAAGACCCGCCAAGTTTTGTGGGCATCTACTGACACAATGTTGTGCTCCGCAAATTTTAAACCTAATGACTGTTATTAACACAAATTTCTGTTTACTTAAGTTTACATTCGCCAATGTTCATGGCTTTGAAATCACGATTAAATTAAAACAACGGTCATGACAGATCACATCAATAGTAGTACCAAGTTGTATTTTAAAAAATACCTGTACTTAAAATCGTTGAAAATGTCACAGAAAAGAAGAAAAACAAAAATAAAGAAGTACTTTATAGTTCATTCCCCACTACAAATATCTTGGAAGTCCTTAACAATCATATCGACCAGTTGTTGATCACCAGCTTTGCAACCAATATGGACGCTGCCCTCCTAAGAAATATAAACTATGGACAGAACAAATCACTAATTATGCTGAGATCACTGATGTTAAAATCGAATTCAACAGTAACATGAGACTCAAAACTCACTACTTTTTTCAGCAACACGCATACAGGCCCGCCCGATGTGGTTGTTGCATACAATGACGCTGCTGATCCAACCTCTTCAACTACTGCAAATGACTCTTATGACATAAGTATGTTAATAAACCATTGAAAAAAGTCGAACAAACCCAAAAAAAGAACGCTTAAAAAGAAAAAATAAAAAGCAGGACTTTAATAATAAAACTACTAATAAATTCGTTAGAGTTAACAGCACAAATGATTCGTAGTAATGCCATAACATTAATTATATATCTAAAGTAAACAATAACAAGAAGTCAGTGCAATAGTATTATCAACACAATGTTATGGTTACCTGATAAGTGACCAATTAACGTGACCTTTGCAAGCAGGTCGTGGAAGCCGTACTGGGTAGGAAATTCTGTTGATGCCGAATACTCCACACTGTTGCCAGTTAACAATTGTGAAAACTCATTTCTATAATACAATGGGGAGGTTTATTTGAACCAACTATATAGAACAATAAGAAAACAGCAAACTAACTTGCTGATTGCTGATGCAACGAGGGAATCTGTGCTCCTCACAGGCAATTTGAAATCAAGCTTCCCCGAGATCGAACCGTCTTCTTCCTGATAATAGGTAAATTTTAACACGAGTAGGTTATGTCATTGAAAACACAAAAGGAGTGATAGCCGAGTAAGATTAACTAGATATTATTGGTCAAATAATAGTAAAAATCGGCTGCAAATAGAAACTCTAACCTCAGCAAAATATGTAATTGTTCCACGAAGAGTTTGCGAAACACTACTGGATCCGATAGCTAAATGTAACCGAAGTTCACCGGTCTCTCCGGGTGCGAGAGTTGTCATCAGCAAAGACCCTGGCTGCAATGCACAGTGCCATAGAACTCACCCACTAGTTATGGACGAAAAACATCATACGATTGATTACATCAACTTTTCCTTTATTTTATCACATAAACTACTTTTTAGCAGATGCAAGCAAAACATATTGAAAATGTATACAGCACAAGAAAAAAGAGCACATGTAACGCAATGGTTGGGAGTGAACTGGAATACACGCTTGAGTAATCGCTAGTTTAATCCTGTTTCCTGGGTTCACCAATCCTCCCACAACCTTGGGATCGTAAAATTTGTACCAGATTTGCCTCGAAGGAAAAACATAGAGTTGACACATCGGTCTGAAACCGCAAATCACTGAAGAGACCAAAGTTTTATCCAATCACTTAGACGATACTTATATAGTAACTATTCCTTAAATAGTTCCTATTCTCTATAATATCACATGTTTCCTATACTAACTACTTGCTTATAACTATCTTAAATCTAGCACAAAGCGTAGTAATATTTCGTAAGCTCATCAAAGAAAGAATACATATATCTTAAATCTATCAATTCATAATCTATACGTCTTTAGACCGTTTCGACAAGTACTTCCGGTAGAAGCCTTTGTACAAGCTATTTCATCTCTTTCACATTACCTTTTGATAAGCCTTTGCGTCGTTTTCATATAACCTTTCTGTACGAGCAATTTCTTCGCTATCTGATAAAGTTCTATGCTGACGAAGCGTGTCATGCCTTGAAACAGCACTACCTCTGACTCCCTCTGTAAAACTCCACCCATTATAGACAAAATAGGAGCACCAGCAGTCATAGAGACTAGTGTCTGTCTTCCAATCTATCAGTGCCTGGGTTCCAACTCCCATTGCTTATCTTCCGGTCCCTCAATTCCTCAGTGCTCCAACACCAGTGTCCGCCTAGCTTCTTTCAAGTGTAACAGTTGTTCCCATTTCAATTTCGCTATATACACCCAGCTTGCTATCGCCAAATATCACACATTATTATTGTATCCTTGTTGTTGTTATAAACTGTTATAACCCAAACTCGAGGTTGTTCAAAGCAGTTACTGAGAAAACTCCGGCGTGGCGAATTAATACAAAGTCGAGCATTCCACGTACAGTTGGCGGACAAAAGACAAATCTGATCAACTCCCTAGTCCACTGGCCAACTAGCAGAGCTTGAACAATTTAAATGCACAGTGCCTCTCTCAAGGATTGATCAAGGCCGAACACTTAATACCTTACATGAAGACTGTATCAAAAAGATGTTCGATTCTACAATAATTACAAAAAGATACAAAAAAGATGGCAGACAAAAAGATGCAGGAAAGACATGCAAATTAAGACACAGACATAGATTAAAAAGTCGTCAAACACTAACCTTATTTCTTACCATCTGAACATACATACTATCGACCACATTTGCCTCAATGTCTTTAAGCCGACGTCCGCCAGTGACAGATACAAATAGGGTTATTACAACTGCGTCACCAGAATCCGCGCTAGACGAAGGTGTGAAATCCTACCAATAAAGAGCATGACGTCATATTATACTATTCTGTGAGGCCTGCTAATTAAATTGCGAAAAAAGTCGATAAAGAAATAAGAAATGACGAAGCGCAAAAGTAAAAGTAACAACATTAATAAATCAGCCAAACATAGGAACACACATGGAACATACTCACTACATTGATATCTGAATTAGAGCACAGCTTCATGTTTATCAACCCTGGGCGATGATTAAGTTTTGGAGATACAGCACTCTCCCAATTAGGATTTGAAGGCGTGCAGACACCAGAAGCTTCCTAGAATTATTGGCATTTATTAATATAATCACAAAAAAATTAATAACATGGGTCCAAAAAACTTTAGTAGAAGATAGTTGCCTCACTTCATAAGCCTCTCTTGCAGTGTCAGATTTTCTCTTCTTCTTCGTCTTCTTCTCAACCTGAAGACGAAGTGTTTGAAGTTCAGTGAAAGACAATAACTAAATATTAAAAAACAAGTACCCACTTTTGTAGTAATAACCGTGCTCTCTTCATGCCTGTCTCCATAAGTAGCACGTGATATATCTCCTGTCAACCAAATGTCAATATCAAGGCAATCATCTTGCGTAGTAGTTGCTGTGCGTTTTTTCTTTTTCTTCTTTTTAACACTGGAAAATATACGACTGTATAGGAACAGTTCTACAAAACTATAAAATCTCACACACCTATCACTGTTTACTGCCTTTTCCCTTTTCTTCTTTTTCAACGAGTCGTCCATATTCAATGGTGTCATATCCTGGTAAGGCATGGTAGTATGAGAACGTGCTACTAAAGTGGATACCGAGGAGTGGTACTGACGATTGTAAGCTTGCGGTCTGCGCACCACCTCGTCTGGTCGTAACGGCTCATCCAGATTGATGTCAAGAGCGCGGAACTCGTCCGATATTCCGTGCTGAAACTTTCCCACAGGTATTTGTGTCGACACTATACATCAAATGTAAAAATACTCATTAGCATTAGATTTGAAAAATAAAAGGATAAAAATTTCAGCGTTGGTCGATCCTTGAGGGATGTGCCATGCATTCGACTTCACTAAGCATCGTTTGAAGGTGACTGAATGCACGTTCGGCCTTTACAACAAGTCCTATTGGCTCAACGATGTATCGAGTCAGTGCTACCTTCCTCCCAGACAAGTCTGATACCAATTTGCAGACTCCGGAGGTATGGAAGGCTCGGTGGACTAGGAGCGCAGGAATCGATCCCAGGTGGTATTGCAGGGCGCCTCCGACCACTGCACCACACGCATATGCATTAGACATACAACTGCCAATAGCGAGCAACGGAGTAAAATTAACTACAGTGCATCTGGACAATCTGGACAGCCTAGGTCGTCTGGGCACTAAAAGGGATATTAAGAGCATTTCATTTTAAACTACAAGAAACACCTACCGCTACATTATCTTCTTCGTCTGTTGACTTTGCATCCTCTGGCATTTCTCCATCCGCACGATTCACCTTAACCAAAAAGAAATGATTAAAAAAGGACTGCGACATACGTGACGATATTCACGAAACAAAGAGTAGTACTGCCTAGCGAGATAGGGGAATTTTGGAACTATGACAAGATGCACAATAAGCCAAAAGAATATTAAGACTACTCACTTGATGTATAACAGCGACTTCTTCTTCACTAGAGCAGCTAACACGTCTCTTCTTGCCCTTCTTACCTCTCTTTTTCTTCTTTGTATCCTCTTTTGCTTTCTTCCATGTCAAAGTTGAATCTTGCTGCTCCATATACCGTGATAACCCGACAACTCCTATAAGTCTTGCCAACTTTCTAATTCAATCCTAACAACGAAATACAGTAGGAGTTCAATAAAAGAAATGATACCAGGAATTTCAAGCGGACTCTGGATCTCCACTTTATCCACATTGTTGGTACTTGAAGAGTCGAGTGCCACGAATCGCGTTGGACGCTTAGGGGCTGTAGCACTTCCTTTTACATAGTAAGGGTTAATCTCTCGTTCGGCTTCGCGAGCTCTACGCCGTCGCTCTATCTCATTTGGAGATAGTTCTACAGACTCCTATAAATGTACAACCTTTAAGATGCTATGAATGCTAAAGTAGGGAATAATGGTTAATATAGTAACTATTCCTTAAATAGTTCCTATTTCTATGTTGCCTTATGTTTTCTACAATAACCGTTTTACTTGTAATCGTTACACATCTATTCTCACACATTCTGTAAATTGTCTCCCAACGACCGTTTCAAACAGTTGCCTTGCAGCTAGGCTACAAAGGGATACTGTAACTTCTTTGTATCTCCGCTCTTCTTTGCCCGACTGTTCGGGAGGTGAATAAGCCGCCACCAGCTGCATGTACTTCCAAGAATCGGCCGTTCCCAAGCACTTTCTGTGTAAACCTTTGCATGGCCTTCATGAACTCTTTGTACAAGAAATTGTACTATCTGAAAAAGTAGATAACCTCTCTTTGAGCATTATCTCTGACTCCCTCTTTAAAACCACACCCATAACAGACAGAAGGAGCACCATTAGTCATCAAAACTAGTGTCTGTCCTCCAATTTACCAGTGTCTGGGTTCCAACTCCTGTGCTTGTCTTCCAGTCCCTCAGCTTCTCGGTGCTCCAACTCCAACGTCCGCCCAGCTTCCTTCGATTTTATAACTTGTCCTCACTTCAATCTCGCTCGTATATATCCAGCTAACCGCATATCGTCACATATCACATATTATTATCGTACCGTTGTTATTGCTATAAACTGTTATAACCCAAACTCGGCGTGGCGAATTCATCCAAAGTCGAGCATTCCACTACAGTTGGTGGACGAAAGACAAATCCGACCAACTCCCTAATCCACTGGCCAACTAGCACAGTTAAGGCTAATACTCTGTCTCAATGTCAGAACACACGAACCACATAATAGACGTCTATACATAAAAACTAACCTTGCTTTTCTTCACTTTTACATCAGTCATCGTCCCATCTGGTTCGCCAACAGAGTCAACGCTAGTGAACTTCTTAAGATGTCGAGGAAGTGGCTGAATTCAAGTAAAAATGTCGAAACTTCAAACAATATAGTCGATGGATTTGTTAAAAACTAAATGTAATCTCAAGAAGAAATAACATGAAGAATGGAAAATAATGAAATATTTGCGGTAAGTACAAAGATATACGATAAAGGATAAAAGCTCTCGGCGTTGATCTATCCCTGACCGACGCATTCGACTCCATTAACCATCGTTTGGAGGTAATTGAATGCATATCTGGCCTGTACAATGACTCGCAGTAGCCTGTCGACGTATTGAGGCAGTGCTGCTATCGTACCAGACAAGTCTGGTACCAAATTGTCAACACCGGAGGGATGGAAGGCTTGGTGAGCCTTGGGCGCTGAGACCGACCCTATGTGTATTGCGGGGCGCCTTCGTGCACTGCGCCACACGCGCGCACTATAACTAAAACGATGCTGAGACAATGGCAAAAATCAGGCCCCAGTAATATATTTGTGAGAACTTTTAGCTGGCTCAATTATTAAATACAGTACAAGCGCAATCAGTATAAATATAGCATCAATTTCGAAGAAAAAGAAAAGCAAATACGAAAGTGGCTAAAAATAGGTTAAAAAATCCAACCTCTCCAAATGTGTTCTCGATTTCACTTTCTTCGCTTGACTCAGGAGTTTCTTTCCATGGTTCTCCAATCCAGTGATCAAGATCGAGGCTGAGAAATGCATGAGTAGAAACCTCATTCACAAACGCTTAATGACTAAGAAAAAGTACTCCTCTTTCTCAACTTTTTAGTATTGCTAACACAAACAGATTTAAATCTAGTGGCGAGCACGTGCAACGCGTACCGTCCACTTCTTCTTCTTTCTTCCACTCCACAACGTCCCCAAAAATACCACACCAATTTTTATGCTTGCCGCTTTATAATCCTCTTTTCCGAAGCACGTTTCCTCTCATGTCTCCGATCCGTATGATCCCCGCAAACTCAATGCAGTTCCAAATATTTCTCCACATTTTTGGTACAACTCATCAGTCATCCAACCACACTGCTGTTAAAGCTTAGTAGAGTTTTGTAGAATATATGAAGTATTAGCGTCTTTATAACCGTTAACCTCCAAACGGTTTACCGCCTCATCATGGCTGGGGCGGGGGGGAGGGGAGGGGATGAGGGGGTGTTTCTGTGTGTCCGGGTTGCGATGTACAGTAAGGGGATTCATTTTCTTGGTAAGATATCCCAAGCTGAGGAGTTTGGCGTTTCTATCAGAAAACCCAGCTAAGAGTAAACCAATACCAAGATCCGTCACCGTCTTGGTACCAAACTAATCGCACGACGACAAATCCCTCTCTGTTCCACAAAGCCGGCGACTGCCTGTGGTCGTGACGACATGAGGCAGACTTTGGCCTGGCTAACTTCGGAACTCCAGGGAGCCACAATGGCTAAACCAGCAAAACCACGAAAAAATGGTGATTACGTTGAGGCCCGCACAGTCATTGAGGACAGGCCATCTACTCAAGTAAATATAACCGTTAACTCCACACTATAACTATTACTAATAGTTATGCATCAAAGAAAAATCAACTAAAATAAAAAAAAACTATGAAGTAGTCGGTTACGATGGTGAAACCCGTGCATGGTTAACGAATGCTTCACGAGCACCGGATATTAAATGGTATTTAACTTAAAGTAAACCAACAGATCAAATGCATTTTTTTGGACTTTTTATGGATGGTATAAAGGACACACCTGTAAGAGAGACCAAAGGATATAGACAAGAGATGAGTTATGAAAATCAACAACTGTTGAAGATATGCAAAAAGTTTAACTTGTTATTTACTGCCTACTATTGTTCAGGCTGTGTATTACGTGGATTACAACTACAATGATGGTGCCGTCAGCAAACACTAGTGGACCGAAATGATCTGAGAAGCACAAATCGGCATTGAGGTAATTTAAACTCCCGTGGACTCCCGCGAAAGGGTAATCTCGTGTTCGAATCCGGCATGAAATCCAAGTTTTGCGAATATCTCAGCATTACCGGTTTCAATTCCGATAATACCCTTTCATGAAAAGTAACATGCAGTAAATGAAAATTTAAACGTTGTCATTTCGTCTATAATATGAGTTAACTTGGTTTGATGCCCATTTGTGCTTCTCAGATCATTAGCATTGACGGACAATTGCTGATGGCACCGTTAGAGTAGAAAACTGGTTGAGAGAAAAGCACTATAAGGGCCTCAGTGGTGAAGTGGATAACACGTGAGATCCTGTAAAGGATTATCCTGGGTTCAAATCTGAACTGAGATCTAGGCTCTGCAAATAGGAATATTCAAAGTGTCAGGTTTAAAGAGTTATGGAGAGAACCTGTTTTCTCCATCTGATCCTCCTGGTTCCAATGTACAGATTTGAAAGGCCAACTCAACTTTCAACATATAACCGATAGTTTGTTCATGATCACTTCTGTTATTAATTTTCTAGTACAAACTGAAAAAAACTACACAGGTCTGGCATACAGGTTACACATATAACATTGTTGAGATTTAGAGCCGTTTAGAGTAAGGATGAATTTTACTCCGCCAAGATGTCGAAAGTGATACAAACAAATTAAAATTGTTTAAACTATGCAAAGAGCTGGTTACACATGTTACACTGTATTATACGTCGATAAAGACGAAGACAATAACAGGAAGTGTGTGTGTTATCGCGGCTACAAAACTCATGAAGGATTTATTGAATCAATGGAGGTAAAACTTCACCTACGACTACTATACAAGTGTCCACTTGGCTGAGAAACTGCTGCAGAGGAAAACTCGATTTCTTGACGTGTGCAGGAATAATACATATACATAGTCAAAGCAGGCTATCCATTAGAACTTGAGGAAAGGGTAACTGAATGTTGAACAGAGCAACAGTGGTATGACAATGGCCAGCGGGTAAGAAAAACCGTATATATAGTCTCCATGTCCACGAAATACGACAACACATCAATGTCATGGAAGGTGCAGATTTCGATAGATCTACTTAGAATTCACGCGTATTTCGGCTTTGTTCTAATAAACAAAGTACATTAACCCACATCCGTCCACTTCCTAGAGGTAGCTGCACTATCACAAACAAAAGAATGGAAACGTGGTGGTCGACATAAGGAGTTAATGAAATATCACGACTACGGTTAAACGCGTCAAACAGGCCAAGACTAAGTGGAACCAACAGAAAAATATTAATGTTTAGAATGACTAGTATTAATCAATAACGTGGCGGATAGTGTAGTGGTAGTGATGTTGGTCACCACGATCACGGCACTAATTCGATCTCGCACCGGATTCACCAAGCCCCTCCGGGGTGGAGCTACTGGTACCAGACTTATCTGCAAAACGTTCACCCTCTGCAATACAAGTGGACACGCTCTATCTCGGCCATCTCAGAACTCTATTGCGAATTGACTCGACCATTCAAAATGAGATAAAAATTCTCAAGCAGCAGCCGCAGCCACAGGGGTATAATTACGAGCATCTTCGTGGGTAATGGATGCGAAGAAACAAATGTGCGCCTTGCATGCAATAATCAATGCCAGCTTGTGAGAATAACAGTTGAGAATAAGTAGTCATATTAAGTGTAGATAAAAGGATAAAGCATAAAGCTTTCGGTGTTGATCAATCCCTGAGGGATGCCCCATGCAATCGACTTCATTAGGCATCGTTAGAGGTGATTGAATGTATAACTAGCCTATATGATAACTCGCGATAGCCTGCTGATGTATCGAGCCAGTGCCGATATCCTCCCAGACAAATCTGTTATCAATTTGCCGACCCCGGAGTGATAGAAAACCTGCTGAGCCTGGGGCGCGGGGGTCTTTCCCATGTGCACTGTAGGGCGCCTGTGATCACTGCGCTACACGCGCCGCTTTATCGAAAAGTGTTGATGACAACTCTTTATCGGCCAGACTCGAAAAAGGCCGACTTGGGCAACCTGGCGATTGAATATAAAAAATAGCAAAAGTGTAAGTGAGTCAAGCAACACAGCTGAAAAATGAACTGAAACCAACTAATGCGGTCCATTCTACGTGACCACCCCATATACATTGATATCAGTGAAGTAAATCGCGTATTCGTTCATATAAAATATAGGTCAACATCGTATATTCCACAAATACTTCACTGCAAAGAGCTTCCTTACCCCTCAGGCACTGGTACTTTTCGTTGTGCTTTCGCTGCAACTGGATTCAGCTCTCCTTCGTAAAGTTTCGCAACGTCGTCCGCAATTTTTTCCCGGCGTGTATGCGCTTCATCAACCACCCGCAAAACACCCATTAAGTTGCATGCCTGAAGTAATCGATTATTTTTGATAACACTACCAACTTATATTAATCTATAAATTCTCCTGGTTAGCTAGCCATCGGGCATCAAGATGCGTCTCAACCTCTTATGAACCCAAAAAGGAGAGTTCGTAAAACAATAGCATGTTTCCGTATAATATAAGCGGATTAACGTAATAGGAGTTTCATTGAGACTGGTATTCCTCACATCTACGCTGATCAGTTTTACGTCATATCTTACCAAAAACAACAAAGAAAAAAAGATCTCCATAATGGAAACAAATAAACGCAGCTGTGACCAATGAACAAGTTATAAAACAAAATAACAGAATCAATCACTCGTTCCTGCGCCTCCAAATGCTCGGCAAGTTCAAAGTCCGCCAATTTAGACAACATAAGGTTATCCAACGATTCAATGGCATCCCAGTCATCTTCCTAAATTGGTAACAGACACTCCAAGAGCAAATGGAATAAGATGCAGCGGAAAGGAATAAAACGATGTGAATACAAGATGTATCAAATGAATATGAGTCTAAGATTCAGTGCATAACTACACCTTCTCAGCCTTAGAGAGTAATGTGCTATACAATTTTCCAATGTTCTGAACGTAGACGGAAAGAATGTGCCCAGACATCACCGAAGTACGCGCACGCAGCATTGACTCTAGCACTGATGGGATATTGCGAACATGCCTGAAGCGAAATCATTAACAACACTTATAAGGATCTCCGTGCTAATACAATGCGACGTTATTAAAGAAATACAATAAACTTATGATTACAAAACAACTAGTATAAGTGAAAAGTTTCTCACTGGCTGTATTCTCCACATATCCATGCAGCTGTCAACAGCACCTCGCAAATGTTGTTACGCTGTTGAGCGCTGCCAGCCAGCAAAATATGGGCATTCTCAACCTGTGGAATTTATAAAAACCAACTCCGATCAGAAAGTGCGCAAAAGTTGCGAAAACACGTGGCTTTGTGTCAATATAAAGCCCCTCTTACCAACAAGGCCATCTGCGAGACAGAAAAGTGTCGAATTGATTCCACACGCACAGTAACATCCTGAATCTGAACACCAGCAGCACAGATACTCGCTGTACTTTCTTTGATATAAAAAAGTTCCTGCTTCTATACCCCTAAAAAATATTACCTGCTCAGCGATCTTCGCGCCATGTTTTGTGCCTTCTACCTTGGTCAATTCTACCAACACTGAGATGTACCTCAACAAAACAGGTGGTAAAATTCAAAGACACAAGTATGAAAATAAACAGCATGAATTTTTTAAGATAATTAATATAAGTGAACCTCTACTCGGAAATACACCAATAACATGGGTAATAAGGAAACCTATACATAAACTCTATCTTGCAAAAATTTCGGCTCACCACTCGAAGTTTGTGATGAACTGATAATTGTTGTAACTACAAATACCAATTATCCGTGAAAGAAGCTCGTCCCTGAAAACCTTCTTTTTTTTTAATGACAACCTGAATAACCGCGGATTTAAAAGAAAGGGAAGTCAAACCTGTAATGTGAACCTTCAGCAGACTCCACATGCTCCATTAGCTTCTTCACAATTTCCATTATATTCTTCTTCGAAACCATACCATACAGCAAATCAAGTGACCTTAAATTAAACACTCGAGGTAGAACGTCCAAAATCGAACCAGAGGGGACAAAACGAAGGAACCCCCAATCCTACGTGAAATATTCATTCTGGAATTTCTATTATTTCTTCTTAACACTGTTGCGAGCAGTGACACCTACAGACGTCATAATGGTTTCGAGTCAATAACTGGCAGGATACCTATACCTAAGCCTTATCTTTTCTTTCCAGCGGTTTAGTTTAACAGGCTGTAGAACACAGATGTTGTGCTGGGCGTTAGTCGGGAAAAATTCTATTCCGCACTTAGAAATACACAAAAACAACTATGCATTTCAATACTACGGTTACGAACCAACTGACGACGTAGATAAGTGATCTGGGAAATATTTCCCGCAAATAAGAGGGCTGGCATTGAGACAGCAACTGATACCAAGCCTTGCTATTGCGTTTATGTTTAAAGTAGAAGCTCCTGTTCTCGGTTTCCCGCCGCTATTCGGCACATACATAGATGACTGTTTTGCCAACCTCTCTACTCAACAGGAGATAGACAAATGCTTTGAGTTATTGAATGAGCACTCTGAGCACATCAAGTTTACTTCGGGAGAAACCGAAAGAGAACTAGATTGCTTTTTTTTACCAAGTGAACTTATCAGGTAGCGGTTACATGACAAAGTGGCACCGAAAACCAAGTAACAAAAACATTCTCGTTCATTTCCTTTCTTCCCATCCTTCACACACAAAGAGGGTGATTGTGAGAAACAAGTTTCGAACAGCCACCTCCTTGTGTACGAAGAAGGAATTAAAGGAGGAATCGCGCGACTGGCTACGAAATGGTAACCCGACGAGATGTGTTTAAAAGGAGAGCGACGTCCCAAGATCAAACACTTGGCCAAAAGAAAATGTCGTTTATGCTGCCCTTTATTAGCGATGAAGTAAGTATAGCTATAAAACGGTGCTTGAGAAGGGCAGGTTTAGAGGAATCGGTTGCGATAGTAGAAACACCACCTTATATTCTCTGTTGTCAATTAGTTCGTAACCGCCTGTATGACCGCCTATGTGGAACAGAAAATCGCGCAATTTGCCCTTTTGGCAATGAAGGTGATTGCATGAGTTCAGGTACGATATATCTGATCTCTTGTAATGATTGCGGAGACGAATACATTGGCGAAATGGGCACAGCTTCATCTATCCGCATAAAAGAACACATAGATGGCAAACGAAAAGCAAGACAAAGTACCCCACTAGGGACGCACAGGATGCCAAAACACCAGCGCGCAAGCTTCTTAAGGCTTTTTGGATAAATGTCAAAAACCCTAAAATGAACAGCAGCGAGGAATGCCCCGAGATCACACGCGATCTCATCCCGTACCTTCGTATCGATCGATGATGTGGGGAGTTGCAGTCGTCAACCATATGCGACGCTGATCAGCGGCTCTTCTTCACTGGAAGGCACTTAAAAAAACGGTGGGTTTTTAGAGAAGCTGTTGACCATGAGAATACCATTTAGATTCTCATCTTTCTGTATGTGTTATTGCGACATTGACGTAGTAAATTGCATTTCACTACGGCCTTCCAGGCACTGAAGAAGGCGATTCTGCCGAAACGTCAGCTACGATTGTGTTGCATGTGTGTTATTGTATAGAAGTAGTCATACGCTACTTAACAATCTCGCGATTGCTGAGAAAGAAAAGGACGCATTTATAATCCAATGCCGAGGTTAATAGAAAGTCGATCTCGGGAACAATTGTTCACTTTAAGAAAAAAAAACCAAAAGTCCAAAAGGGGTGAAAATTGAGCGCCGCCCAGTCCGCAACAAACTCAAGATTACGCATCGTCGCGAGAGTGTTGGATGAAAATAAGTAGAAATAGAAAAAATAAGAACACGTACCTTAGTCGTATACTCTCGTCTCTATCATCCAAGCATCGCAAAACAATGTCCTTGTGAGCTTGGACAGCCTTGGGATGAGTTTGTAGTATTTTTCCCATAGCTAGCAACCCAAGATACTTCAAGTTTTGATCCGAATCCTCGATCAACACACCAAGTTTCTGGACGCAGAGCTGGAAAAGTACACCGCGCTAGAACCTATTAGGCGGAAAAGAAAACAGGAGAACAGCAGCCAAAGTAGGTAAAAAGAACCTGTATACTAGCTGCATGTTCCCCTCCAGCCGACATACTGATTAGGACTAAAAAAAAAGATATTACATACACATACATTTGGACACAAATGGATGTACATATCATGGAATACTGGGAAAACCTTCCACTAACCGGCGATCACAGTATTAATACATTCATACAGCAGAGACATGGCTGATGTGCTGAAAAGAACGAATAATGATGAAGCCTATCATGTAAATGATTTTGGGATGGTGGCTTAAAATACAACTTGATAACATTCTTTCGAGATCTACTTAATAAATAATGGGTATGTACACCCATAAAATCATACGTGGCGAGCCGGGTGGACGAGGATTTCCATTTCATAGGTTTATTTTGCTTATAGAAGTTTTTTTTAACTACATTTCCAGTATCAGCGGAAAGCTTATCGAAAGCAGAACAATGTATAGGAGTTGTATCAAGAAGTTATTGATAACAAACTTTGTATCAACCTTGTGTTATCTTAATAATCCAAGATACTTAATCCAAAAATACTGACTATTCTTCAAAGTTAATAATTTGCAAAAAAATTTCCCTCGGACGATTTTCCTTCATAAGCGCACCGTTTCAAGCTTCTTTGGTCTTGCAGTATGCGTATAAAAAGTGTATTTGGCCGAATTAAGTAAACATGGCATCACAATATTACAACTCGGACATCAGGTAATTCAATAGTTTCTAAAACAGACGTTGCTTAGTGTTAATATAAAAAGAGAAGCACTTCAGATATATATTACTGGATCAAAAAAGATAAAGGATTGAAACATTCATATTTAATATTTCCTCCGAACTACTCCCAGAAATTATAAACAAATAACCTATTTATAAGATTAGTAAGTGGTTCGAGAAGCTTCTTGCCTAGTCGTGGTTCAAGTGGGACGAGTGCTCCAAACTGAAACAACAATAGTGCGTTCGAGCTGTTACGGTACTAAATATATCACATAGTTTGACACCATCAAAAGTGTTGTTTATTTTTGAAATTATAAAAATTACTGGAAAAGAAAGAAAAAAGTTATAAATACAATACGCGTAAAATACTTGGATGGTCCCGTCTTCACGGCGTGTGTCTGTCCCAGCATAACCGGAGATTATAGTATACCTGGGCTATAGCCGGGACTGGCTTATCCACGGTGGTTCCTTGGAGTCCCGAGGACAGCATGGCCAAAGTCTACCCCAGGTCGTCACCACCATCAACAGTCGCAGCCATTGTGGATAAGAGGGAGATTTGCCACCATGCGACTAGTTTGATACCACGACGGTGGTGACACTGGTTTACTCTTAGTTGAGTTTCCTGATGGAAACGCCTGATTCCCTCTTAGCTTGGGAGACCTTGCCGGGGGATGAATCCCCTCGCTGTGCATCGCAGCCCCACACCAAGGAACACCTCCCAGCCATGATGAGGTGGTAAACCTTTGGGAGGATATAAATAAAGTAGTCCAAATAATCACAATCCTAACCCTTTTATTTACTGCCTTTTTCTTTTTAATGGCAGGATATGCTGCGAAATATAACTCATATAATGCTGAGATATTTGCAAAACTCCGGACCGCAGGTGTATACAGTGGGGAACGAACGGGCGCTATTGTCCTTTCCGGGGAGTAGCGCACTTCACCACCACACCATCGGGGTCCTTCGTTTTGCCTGTCTCTCAGCTAGTTCTATTGATCTTTTGCCATCAGCAATCACCCGTTATAGTCCAAATAATTTATAGAAGATAGCAAATAATTCTCATTCCGATTATTTTTCTTTCAGTCTTCAATTTTAGCCAGCTTTTACAAACGTGTTGGTCACATGGTCTACATCCCGTTTATTTCACTCCGTATTAAAGAATAGAAACATTTTGGAACATTCATAAAATAAGGGTATGACCGAGTAACAATTATTTCTTCTCTTCGAAAAGTTAAAATAACCCCGGAACAAACCAATTTGATTATTTTTATCAGCATCCAATTGTTACTTGAAGTCGTCATTAGTTTGAAGAACATCGGCGCAAGGGTGAGATAATTCTTCGGGTTTTTTCGAGCTAACTCGCAAATGACGTTTACAGCAGCACTCTGCACACCTGTAATCAAGCAAAGGTATGGAATTATAACACCAAATGCAGAGAAACAGAGCGATGTGATTCTTACATGGATATTCATTGGTCACATTGTTATAACTTGAAAGAGAGCAAAATGGGCGGCAAAAAACGCTTAGTTTGCAAACAGATTTAATCTAATTAGATAAGTGTCCAAATTAGGTATACTGTATAGTGTTAACCTCTTATTTTCTGCCTATTGCAGTTTTTCACGGTAGGGTACTATGTGAAATACAACCTTAATTATGCTGAGATATTTGCAAAACTCCGGACGTGTTAGCCCCCATAAAGGGTAATAGCTCGTTCGCTCTCCACCACAGACAGTTGCGGTCGTTTTGGAGTGGGACAGCAATACGTGACAACGAATGTAAAGACTCTGCTATGACCTACACCGAACACGAGTCACGACGGAACTGCCTCTATACTCACCTGGATCAGGATCTTCGAGCTTCTCCTTTAACCGCTGAAACGTTGGCCTAAGTGCTTCCGGATATTTCAGGAAGATCTTATAGAGTAGAAGAACAGCTCGTTTTCTGGTATATGGACGCGAAGATGATAACTGTAGGATGAAGTCTTTCTCTTAGTGGTATATTAAATGTGTTAGAGCTCTTAAAACACAAAACTTACAAGGTTAACAATATCGCTGGCAAGGTCACTTGCCAGATCCGGGGTGACGAAACAGGACAGGCCCCCCAAAGCTATGCCACAGTCGTACATATTGGGGCTAAAGAATAACACACACACATGGTCTAAGAAAACTATATTGCCAAGATTTAGCACATCTCACTCACCTATTAAGGTCTTTTCGAATTAAATTTGTAGTTAACATTAACACTTCCGTACTATCATGGAAACACTGGGAAGCAGCTAGATAACTAAAATTTAAGTAAACATGTTAATAAAATAGTTGTAAAAAAGGTAACAGAAGGCTTAAAACATGAGTAGTAAACTAATGTTTAGAAAACAATGAAAACGAACCCGATACGCTTTTCTGTATATTTCGTTGATGCCATAACTTCAATGATGTTAAAAGCAGCCCACGAAATGTCATAACCTAACATTTGTAGCTGAAAAAATATGGTTAAATAAAAAAAGAATTAGGATTAATGAAATCTTCTATGTATAACTTCTATCTGCTACTCATTAATTTATCACTGCAGCGTATTATGTGAAATACAACCACAATGCTGCTGAGATATTTGCAAAACTTGGACCCCAGGCTAGATCGAATCGTGACTACCCTTTCCAGGGGTTCATGTTTTACCCATTTAACTACTGAGCCCCTTCATTTTCCTTCCTCTCAGCTAGTTAGCCTTTTTAGTCTAAAGATGCCATCAGCAATCACCCGTCAATGGGAGTGATCTGGAGAGCACAAATTGGTATGAAATCCAGTTAAGCTGATGCTGTAGTCGAAATCACAAAGTATAACTTTTTGCTCATCACTAATTATAACTTCCATGTATTCCTGAAATAGACTGTCACGTTCAAAATAATGCACTCAAGTTTTCAACTGCCTTCACTGCCTTCGAGATACCACAGAACGTCTAACTTTCAAAACGAGTCGAATCTCACTGAACATCACGAACACCAACAACTAGTAAATTAATGTGTAAAGAGGCTCAACGAAAGCGAGACTTACGTATGCGAGTTTCTCAATAGCATTCGCTTTGACGTATGCTGAATCTTGACGCAGTTCCATTTTAATTTCGTCGATACATGAAGCGATATAACGAGCCTAAATATATGGCTAGTATGCCTTCTGATCATGAAAACTGTCAGACTAAGTATCACAGAGTGGAGGGATTTTTCACATGCATTTAACATGTAAGAAGCGAGAGTTGATCTCAATTCATGCGTGGGCATTGGTACAGATTACACAAGGTGGCCTGAATGAGCTATTTTCAACTCAACAGCCTTCGATCGTTTCCTTCACCACACACGTTTTTTAATTCACTTTTTTTTACCCTCAGCGTTTTTCATGGTCTCAAGCACATTAAGTATCAATAGCAATTTCCTTACTTATAGGCACGGAAGGCTAGGTTAGCCAAGGGCGCGCGACTGAACCAACGACCCTTTCGACTGTAGAGCACCTCGAACCTATACTACAAGCATCCAAGTCATCAATTCATATAAATGCTCATACATGTCGAAATATATTCAACATGTGCTGTGACACCAATTACCAAAGCCTGACAGCAGAATGGCTGGGTGGCTGAAGATTTTCTTCTTCGCCACCAGCAAATGTAAAAGACGCAAATGTTTGAAAGAATCATGGAACCATACAGAGGATAGGTAGAAAACAAAAACGAGAACACAGAAGTTACTAGTGTGGTGAAATAGAGAAAAAAGAATCATAGAGGCAGAAATATGACAAAAAGTCTTGTTCATATTCTGCAAGGCGGAATGGCAGTTCTGAGTTTATTTCAATTCACTTGTACAAATGGCAAAGAGATTAAGGGTCATTCAAAGCAGGCGCCTACAAAAATTAAATGAGGTGCAAATATACCAAAGACGAACGAATCATACGGTTACTTAATAGAATTAATCCGCACCATGAAATATAATTCACTGATGCATCTCTATGGTAGGCAGCAGTCACAGAATGTTCCACCAGCTAATCCTTCTTAAACGGTACCTTAATGCGTGACACCATCCAATTTTACTAACAGGAAGTAGGCTACTAACTCATGAAAAGTCCTGAAAATCCTTCAAGCAACACAAAAACCTTAGAACGATGTTCTTCAACATTGTGGTGATATTTGGCAATAACCATTTATTCTCAAATAAAGCTTTAGAAACTTTTGTTATTCGCTGTTGCCAAGGTGTGTCATATATGATCCATCTTCTTTTCGGTCGTTTATTGCTTCACATAGGGCTTTTACTTTTTGCAATCATTCGTTAACTGAACAAAGGCATATGTTTTGACTGACGACTACTGGGAAAGGCTTCGTTTTGCACTTAGAAATACACAAAGACCCTCCCACACTGGCTCGTCTCTTGATAGGTTAAGTAAGCTCCTACTCAGTGAACCAGGAAGACCGTGCTATTGTCCAAGAAGGATGACTCCACGATATCGGTATCACCTAATCTCCTTAGTATCTGTTGTCTACAAAGTTCCCACTCGAGATATGCTAAACAGAATTGGGAGAACATTGGACCATGTAAAGCCACATGAACAAGGAGGGTGTCGAAAAGGATTCAGTACGATGGATCACATCTACGCGATAACAAGACTTACTGAATTATCGTGAGAAATCAAGAGATTGCTATGCCTCACTTTCATCGATTTAAATTCAGCTTTTGACACAGTTGAGATAGAAGCAGTCATAGAAGTCTAGGAAAGCAGGGTGTACTTACTCAATATAATAAGAATTTCCGAGAGCTTTATAAAAATTTCATAATCACAATATCATCGTTCTATAACGACATTAACATTTACGTCGAAAGAACGATTAGTCGAGTCGATACCATCCGTTGCCATCTCTTCCACTGCACCATTCTTCCTGTCTTAACGTATGCGTCAGAAATCTGGTCGATACGTAAGCAGGATGAAAATCTTTCAACTTTCAAACTTTCAAAAACTTTCAAAAAAATGAAAATATGAAAAACGTATATATATATATATATATATATGTATGTATGAATGTACATTCTGCCATGTTCTAATCTTTCAAGTAGCCTAATAACCGAAAACAAGTCTTTTGTAGAAAAACCGGCAAGTCTTTAACGACGTCGACACCAATGGGTTAAAATACTATAAAACAGAATGAGAAGTGTAGCGCAGCAAGAAAAAGTTTCGGGAAGCAAATAGTCGATGGTTTCAACCCTGCTTTCCAGCTGAAGTTTTATACTTTGAAGAAATGTTTGCTGAACATTCTTCAAATTCAAAAATTCAAACGAAACACAACGTGCTTGAACACTAGATGACTGAGTTTTCAGTAAAATTCTTCAAATTTTTTCAAGACCAGTTGGAAATGCCTAACACTGTACAGTCAAAAATCCACTGCAGAAGTGAGATTTCATGATGAACGTACCATCTGTCTCATTTATATAAAACACAATAACGAATAGGACTAGTGGCTTGAGTGATCCGACTTTTATGCTGTCTTCCGTGAACGAAGTAATGAAAAGACTTCGTTTTCAGTTGTATTTTAACTCTTAGGGGAACGTGTAGCGCAGTAGTGAAGGCGTCCTGCAATACAATACACATGGGATCGATCACCGCGCCCTAAGCTCACCAAGCCCTTCATCCCTACGGGGTCGGGATGTTGCTACCAGACCTGTTTGGGAGGAGAGCAGCACTACCTCAATACATTGGTGGGCCACTGTGAGTCAATGAAAAGACCAAATACGCATTCAATCACATCCAAGGTGCTCTCGAATGCAAGGCGCATCCCTCAGGGATTGATTAACGCCGAGAGCTTTATCCTTTGTCCTCCATTTCAGCTCTTATAGAATCAGTACCAGGAAACCTAACAAGGGAGTTCAATTAGCAATAGTGAACGCTGGGAACGTGCTGCTATGCATTGTGTTAAGCAACGAAACACGACAAAAATTTGAAAAAAAAAGAACTACAAAGTTGCTTCAAACATCAGCACCGGGTCTCTAACGCAGAAGAGTGACAAGCGACAAACCTCGTTTTCTTTGTTGTTCCGAATGCCACGAATAAGATCCGTGAGGCTTTTGTCGAACAGCCGGTCGAGGTTACTGCGCACTTTGCGCAGTGCCATCTGTTCGAACCTAAACACCAAAGGGTTACAACGTTTCAAAAAACTCGAAATAAGAAACCTGGTGAAGGGTCACATAAGCACGAAACCATAAATTCCACGTTCCTTAATAAAAATAAAAAGAAATGAACGAGTTCCGAAAAAGAAAGAGGAGCTCGTGCCTCCTCCTCAAAGAAAATAAAGCAAAAAGTAGCGCAATAAATAGAAAGTGGACGCTCTAAAGGGAATCCTTGAACTGCTTATATCCTTGAAGGTGGGCAAGAGTTCTACATCATAAAGGGTAAAATGTAGGCAATTTTTGCTCCTGAAGAACGAAACTAATGGAAAGCGTTCAAGTTCCTACGAAGTATGAACATACAAGATCTAGAGAAATACTTAATAACCTCATAATCTCAATAAGATTAAAAATAAACGGAAGCCGGACATTTCTATGTCTTCCATGTGACAAAATGCTTTCTTTTAGAAGCCGAACGTCCTTTCCACCTGGGTTTAATCAATCAATATCGCTGATTGAACTAACACGAAGTCTCCAGAATGGCCTCGTGCTATCTTGGTTATCCAAGAAAATACTGAAATATTTCAGTTTAACCAAAATGACGTTGAGATATTTGCAAAACATCGGACTCTAATGTCTTTGATGAGGATCGAACACGTTGTTATCCCTTCCGGAGGCTAACGCGTTCACCACCACACCATGTGGGCCCTTCGCTTCGCCTTTCTCTCAGCTGTGTTACATTTCGGCCTAGTTATTTTTCCATGAATAGGATGTTTCTTTGAAGGTATAACAACCTTCAACAGAAAAAATCTAATATTTCTTAACCTGTAGGGCAAGCCACTATAAATACGGGAGAGGGGGGCATATAATAACCAAAGGAAACCAAAGAAACATTAATAATAAATCGGAAAACAATGGCTCTGTTGACGACTCGCAGAACAAAGAAGATTGAACCAGAGACTTCTCCCTGGACATCGGATATAAAGTACTTCCAGAATATGTCTTGCACGGGAAAGCAAATAAGCATCTTGACATGAGCTTGCAGGAAATTGTTGTCTCTTCTCTGAGAAATGACTTGTAAACAGGACCTGGTGGGGTAGAATTGAGATAGAAGAACAAATATTGTAAGGACAACGCTTTAAGAATCGCAGCGATCTAAGCTTGTACTGGAACAAGAGCTAAGTTGTTCGAAATCCAGGGATGAAATCCCTTCGCATGAAGAACTGAGAATTCCGAATAAGAAAATATTTTTGCATAAAATGCTGCACATTAGCTATCTTGGTTCAACCATGAACACTGAATAACAATGCAAGTATCACCTTGAAAACCTGACAAACACGACTACCCAAAGTGACTGGGGCTAAGAATATCCGCCGATCAAAGCGGTCCTCGTCCACATCGATCTGGTCTCGCGGCGAGGGTGCCCGTGCGCGCTGCACTGACGCATCCCATGAGGACGGGGCGGGAGTGGGGTCATTGGCGTGGGTGAGCGTGAGGGTGTATCCATTCGCTCTGAGCTTAATCTTTTCTGTGATGGTACCGACTTTGTTGAGATTTCGCGTCTCACATCTCATTATGCTCGAATTCACCGCTCCGTCTTAATGAAGGTGTTGCGTAGTGTCAAACTGCGACATGCTGCAGGATTCATCTCAGAACACGAGTCGGTTAAGCTTGGAACGAGTTCTGAAACGAGTATAGGATGAAACCTATGCCATGAATCAACGTAGTTGCAGACGAGACCCAGTCGTAGCGGTCGCAACGCCATTCTTGGAACTTATGGAACAAAGACGGAAGCTCTTCGTAACCAGCAAGACGTCAATCAAGTGTCATGGCTAGAAGCAGGCTCGCACCGCATGCGAACTCATGCATGTGAGAGTAGGATGATAAAATTCTCGGCGTTGATCAATCCCTGAGGGGTGCGCCATGCATTCGAATTCATTAAGCACCTTGGAGGTGATTCAATGCACATCTGGCCTTTACATTGACTCGCGGTAGCCTATCGATGTATCGACCCAGTGCTTCTCTCCTCCCAGAAAAGTCTTGTTCCAATTTGCCGACCCCGGAGAGTTAAAGGCTTCGTGAGCCTGGGGCGCGGGGATAGATCCCATGTGTATTGTAGGGCGACCTCTGACCTCTGCGCTTCACGCGCCTTGTACAAGTGTCCAAGCAAAATATGCGTAGAAAAAAGTGGTGAAGAAAACTGAAACGGTTCTGAAATAAAATAAATTAGCGGAGCGTGTCATCCTACCACCATCGAGAAGCAATGGATGGACAAGAGAACCGAAGCTAATTCCTGTTACTGCAACACATCACACATGTCTAGTAACAAAGCTGCAGTGGGTCTTTGCAGATAAACTCGCAAAACTTCGAAAGTTTACCTAGTGGGATTCGTTTGGGACGAAAATGGTCTGCATTTTACTGACGACGTCATCATTGAGTATCGAGAGTACTAGTGAAGCGGAGACGTCGGTCGAGCTCAGATTAGTGCGAAGATGATAAGAAAGCATGTAAATCGGTAGAAAACTCCGTTTACGAAGAACTCTTGGCTCCATGAAAGCAGGTTTGCCTTGATAATTGTTCAAGCGCAGAAATCACATCCTACGTACAATTAACGGTACAGCAAGTCTGGAAAATTATATCAAAAAAAGATTGTAGAAAATGAAAGTGGTATGAGTTGCGTTAGAGCCTCTTAAAGAATCCATCAATAGCCCAACGGGCCTGCATACATCGGTCTCCACAACGAATGCTGTCTATCAATTCTCAGTTAGGTTCACAGGAACTTTTTGTACAAGCCAGTGCATCGCGTTGATATGAATTTTCCGTATGAACTACCGTATCAATTTTACAGGTACTCACTGTTAAAGCTATTGTATCATCTTCACGTGAACTTTTCGTATGAGGTGTACAAGCTATTGTGTACCGTTCAGTCGAACTATCTATAACAAACACCTCAATCGGGCTGCACTAAGTTTCTAGAGTCTTTCTAGAATCTTCCTTTGAGAATTAACTCTAGTTTCCTCTATCAACACTCAAGCTGTCATAGGTGTATAAACGCCGGCATCATTAGTCATGGCTCGGTTAGTTCGCTTAACTTGTGCTCTTGCAGTCTCCATCTTCATCTTCGCGCTTGTATTCCTTGCCTTTCTGGATATCGTCAGGTCGATAATATTCTATTGGTATTGCTATTATAAACATTTACAACACAGAATCCCAAGTATCCGAAGGTCTCCTTTGTGGGAATACCAAGGAGTCCTGCGTGGCAAACTAGTACAAAGTCGAACATTTTATCACTATTCTGATCTAACAACCGACTCAAACTACTGTATTCCGCAAAACTAAGTTACTAAAATTCAGAAAATTGCATTAGAGTAACCACTACAAGACCCAAAAGCTCCCTGCTCAGTTGTTTCACACAGCCGGTCTCAATCGATCTGCAATGCGTTCACTAAAAATTAAAAACAAGCACATCGAAAATACTGTGCATCACCTTTAGGATGTCTAAACTGTATCCGCCGAAATATAACCTGTGTACATAAGAGACGGTTGGCATCCGTCGTTCAAACCATCGACAATTGCTCTGTTTTCATGATCTAGCAGAATGTGGTCTAGCGTGAAATATAATTGACTCCTTCATGTGATGAGAATAGTTGACAATGAGTGGACAAGTAGGACGGCATAGCAAATCATGGGAGGATGTCCGCGTTCAAACGTCTCGTAAACAGAATCCTTCCATGTGACCAAATTGGTATTTAGGTCGCTGCCTGGACAGCTAACTTCATGCACCACTATCCTACATCTGTCACTTCATCGTTCATCTGAGAGGAATATTGTCGTTCTTACTTCTTCATAACTCTTGTTGTTAATTTACAGCACCAGGAAATTTTTGTCAAATTCGTTCGCGACACTTGGAAACTGAGAATGCTTCCTTTCCTTGCTGAGATTGTGTCTATAGTGGTCGTGCTATTTGCTTGTGGTTACATATGACAACCCTCCCAACGGTTCACCATCTCATCGTGGCTAGAAGGTGTTCCTAGGTGTCGAGTGGCGACGTACAGCGGCGGGATTCATCCCCCAGCAGCGTCTCCCAAGGTGAGAAGGAGTCCGGCGTTTCCATCAGGAAGCTTAGCTAAGAGTAAACCAATACCAGGATCCACCATCATTCTGGTATCAAACTAGTCGCATGGTGGAAAATCTCCTTCTGATGCACAAAGGTGGCGACTGCCTGTGGTGGTGACGACCTGGGGTAGACTTTGGCCACGCTGACCTCAGGTCTCCAAGGAAACACAATGGATGAACCAGCAATACTCCGAAAAATGGTGAATATGCTGGGGCCCCACAACCGGTTAGGACGGGCCATCCAACTATTCCAGTAAGTAAGTACAGATGACAACGTGGAAGAAAGAGAAAGAGAATATGGCTCAATGGATACACGTTCTTCTTTTCCTGCTAGAGTCACCTATGAAGGCTTACTATGAGGTACCATATGTTTTTCTCTTGTTGATTCGTCTTAAGAACCATCATGCCTTTCTTGCACTACTCTGTCACGGTGAACGTTTTTTTTTCTAGAAAAAGCAAATTTTTCATTTGCAGATAGCGCAATAAGAATTTTTGGGCATTTTTGCACCTTTTGCATATTGTGTTACATGTCTGCGAATACACAAGCATTCTGTGAAGTCAATGAGAATTGGAAGTCAAGGTGGTATTTCTCAGGATATAGAATCGAATAGGGGCCCGTGCGGCGTAGTGGTCAGAGGCGCCCTGCAACACACACGTGGAATCAATCCCAGCGCCCATGGCCCACCGAGCCCTCCATCCCTCCGGAGGCGGCAAGTTGGTACCAGACTTGTCTGGGAGGAGAGCAGCACAGGCTCGATACATCGGTAGGCGACCACGAGTTATTCTAAAGGCCAGATATGCATTCAATTACCTCCAAACGATAGTTAATGAAGTTGAATGCATGGCACATCCCTCAGGGATTAATCAACGCAGAGAGCATTACCCTTCTTTA